AAGACATTCCACTACCGTCTTGCGAGCTCAATTTTTTATTTTTCTAGTAGTTTTGTGTTGGGGAATTTTTGTAATAAAAAAATTCCGCTACACTCTTTCAAGCTCATTTGTTTATTTTCCTATTTGTTTTGAGCAATGTTTTTACATATTAGGATTTTAGTTTTCGCAGTCACACCGGTAAGAAATTCGTACAATTTTTTGTGTCTGGGAATTTTGTTTATTTTTTCTACGAGTTTCTCTGGGAAATTCTTTTAGTAAAAAAATTCCACTATGGTGTTTCGAGCTCATTTTTCTATTTTCTATTTGTTTTGAGTAATATTCCTGCTTTTTAGGAATTTAATTTTCGAATTACTGCAGTTAGAAATTTCTACAATTTTTTGTGTTGGGGAAAATTCTTAGTAAAAACATTTCATTGCACTCTTTTAGGCTCTATAATTTATGTTCTTTCTTTGTAGCTGTAATTTTACATTTTTGGAACTCAGTTTTTGTAGTTACACCAGCAAAAAATTTCTGCAATTTTTTGTGTTATGTAAAGACATTCCACTACTGTCTTGCGAGCTCAATTTTTTATTTTTCTAGTAGTTTTGTATTGGGGAATTTTTGTAATCAAAAAAATTCCGCTACACTCTTTCAAGCTCATTTGTTTATTTTCCTATTTTTTTTGAGCAATGCTTTTACATTTTAGGATTTTAGTTTTCGCAGTCACACCGGTAAGAAATTCGTACAATTTTTTGTGTCGGGGAATTTTGTTTTTTTTTTCCTAGGAGTTTCTCTAGGAAATTCTTTTAGTAACAGAATTCCACTGTGGTGTTTCGAGCTCATTTTTCTATTTTTTATTTGTTTTGAGTAATATTCTTGCTTTTCAGGAATTTTATTTTCGAATTACTCTAGTTAGAAATTTCTACAATTTTTTGTGTTGGGGAAAATTCTTAGTAAAAAAATTCCATTGCACTCTTTTAGGCTCTATAATTTATTTTCTTTCTTTGTAGCAATAATTTTACATTTTTGGAACTCGGTTTTTGTAGTTACACCAGCAAGAAATTTCGCAATTTTTTGGTCCGGGTAAAGACATTCCACTACGATCTTTCGAGCTCAAATTTTTATTTTGCTATTAGTTTTGTGTTGGGGAATTTTTGTAATCAAAAAATTTCGCTACACTCTTTCAAGCTCATTTTTTTATTTTCCTATTTGTTTAGAGCAATGTTTTTACATTTTAGGATTTTAGTTTTCTCAGTCACACCGGTTTGAAATTCATACAATTTTTTGTGTTTGGGAATTTAGTTTTTTTTTTCTAGGAGTTTCTCTGCGAAATTCTTTTAGTAAAAAAATTCCACTGTGGTGTTTCGAACTCATTTTTCTATTTTCTATTTGTTTTGAGTAATATTCCTGTTTTTTAGGAATTTAATTTTCAAATTACTCCTGTTAGAAATTTCTACAATTTTCTGTGTTGAGGAAAATTCTTTGTAAAAAAATTCCATTGCACTCTTTTAGGCTCTATAATTTATTTTCTTTCTTTGTAGCAATAATTTTACATTTTTGGAACTCAGTTTTTGTAGTTACACCAGCGAAAAATTTCTTCAATTTTTTGTGCTAGGTAAAGACATTCCACTACGATCTTTCGAGTTCAATTTTTTATTTTTCTAGTAGTTTTGTGTTAGGGAATTTTTGTAATAAAAAAATTCCGCTACACTCTTTCAAGCTCATTTGTTTATTTTCCTATTTCTTTTGAGCAATGTTTTTACATTTTAGGATTTTAGTTTTCGCAGTCACCCTGGCAAGAAATTCGTACAATTTTTTGTGTCGGGGAATTTTGTTTTTTTTTTCTAGGAGTTTCTCTGGGAAATTCTTTTAGTAAAAAAATTCCAATATGGTGTTTCGAGCTCATTTTTTTTATTTGTTTTGAGTAATATTCTTGCTTTTTAGGAATTTATTTTCAAATTACTCAAGTTAGAAATTTCTACAAAATTTTTTGTTGTGGAAAATTCTTAGTAAAAAAAATTCCATTGCACTCTTTTAGGCTCTATAATTTGTTTTCTTTCTTTGTAGCAATAATTTTACATTTTTGGAACTCAGTTTTTGTAGTTACACCAGCAAGAAATTTCTGCAATTTTTTGTGTTGGGTAAAGACATTCCAATACAGTCTTTCGAGCTCAATTTTTTATTTTTCTAACACTTTTGTGTTGGGGAATTTTTTAAATAAAAAAAATTCCGCTACACTCTTTCAAGTTCATTTGTTTATTTTCCTATTTGTTTTGAGCAATGTTTTTACATTTTATGATTTTAGTTTTCGCAGTCACACCGGTAAGAAATTTGTACAATTTTTTGTGTCGGGGAATTTATTTTTTTTCTAGGAGTTTCTCTAGAAATTCTTTTAGTAAAAAAATTTCATTGTAGTGTTTCGAGCTCATTTTTCTATTTTCTATTTTCTATTTGTTTTGAGTAATATTCTGCTTTTTAGGAATTTAATTTTCGAATTACTCTAGTGAGAAATTTCTACAAAATTTTGTGTTGGGGAAAATTCTTAGTAAAAAAATTTCATTGCACTCTTTTAGGCTCTATAATTTATTTTCTTTCTTTGTAGCAATAATTTTACATTTTTGGAACTTAGTTTTTGTAGTTACACCAAGAGTACAATAAATTTTTTTTTACTAAGAATTTTCTCCAACACAAAAAATTGTAGAAATTTCCAACTAGAGTAATTCGAAAATTAAATTCCTAAAAAGCAAGAATATTACTCAAAATAAATAGAAAAAATGAGCTTGAAACACCACAGTGGAATTTTTTTACTAAAAGAATTTCCTAGAGAAACGCCTAGAAAAAAAAATTCTCCGAAATAAAAAATTGTACGAATTTCTTACCGGTGTGACTGCAAAAGCTAAAATCCTAAAATGTAAAAAAATTGCTCAAAACAAATAGGAAAATAAACAAATGAGCTTGAAAGAGTGTAGCGGAATGTTTTTTGTTACAAAAATTCCCCAACACAAAACTACTAGAAAAATAAAAAATTGAGCTCGAAAGACTTTAGTGGAATGTCTTTACCCAACACAAAAAATTGCAGAAATTTATTGTTGGTGTAACTATAAAAACTGAGTTCCAAAAATGTAAAATT